TCTCTTTTATCATGGTTGAGTAGAATTATACTGTGTGTATATACCACAGTTTCTTTATCTAATCATTTGTTCTTGGGCATTTGTGTTATCTCTAGATTTGGACTATTGTGAATAGTGCTGCAAAAAACAAAGGAGTAAAAATGTGTGTTTGAAATAGTGTTTTTAGGCCTTTGAATAGATACCACAAAGTGATATTATTGGGTCATATGGAAGCTCAATTTCTGGTGTTTTGAGACATGTCTCTATTGTTTTCAGAGAGACTGTGCCAGCCAACATTCTTACCATCAGTGGATGAGGGTTCAGTTTTTCCCCATATCCACACCAAAACCACCCCATACCACCTCCACTTGGACTTCCCCAAATTCTACTAGTGTTCAGTGGGAAGAAACTTTAGGATGGTGATTTTTCAGAGCGAATAGGAGTGCTGTCAGGGTTCTGAGCAGGAGAGGAGAGTGGCAACTACATTGCCAGAGTGTGGAGTTCCGAGTGAACCTGCAGGAGGAACGGGAACACTGGCTTCTCTCCACAGAGAGGTCTTCAGACAGCTCTGGTCCTTAGGGTCGCCTTCTGTCTCTTTTGTATCACTGAGAGTGTTTTAGGTTCAAGATTAAGTCCTATCTCAGACTGTTGTTTTTCCTTAACGATATCAGACTGTTGTTTTTCCTTAACGATTACCCACACTTACTTTGTTGCTGTTTGACTATGATTTTCCGGCTTCCGTCGACCTTCCTCTCCACAAACTCATTCTCAGAGGCTCATGGTGGAGACTAGCCAACCACCCTGACTGCTGCATTCAGCCCAGATGCCTGCAGTGAGCTGTGGAGTCTCCGCCCTCTCCTCCTCATGTCACTTCTGAACATGGATGCTTTCCAGAGCCTTCCATTTGGTACCACAAGTATTCCTGATGCAAGCATTTACCCCACATAACTGATTGGTTGGGAGGTAATTAATCCTTAGCAAATAAGATAACTAAAAGGCTGGATAGATAGAATGGTGGATAGAGCCATGCCTTGCACCACTGGGTGTGGCCCCAAAACAAAAAAATTAATAAGCCGAATTTTTGTTAAAATGATCTATACATGGTCAACAGTGATTATAGATTTCAGAAGTTTTAAAATTAAATATTTTCTCAAATATTTTCTGTTAAGATAAATCTTTGTTTTTTAAACTTTTTTATTGAATCACTGTGAGATAGACCCTTACAAAGCTGTTTATGATTGGATTTCAGTCATACAATTTCCAGCACTCATCCCTCCACCAGTGTGCATTTCCCAGCAACAGTGTCCCCAGATTCCCTCCCATCAACATCAACTATCAACTTCCAGACCCCTAGCCTGCCTCCATGACACTCTCTCTCTCTCTCTCTCTCTCTCTCTCTCTCTCTCTCTCTCTCTCTCTCTCTCCTTTTGGGCGTTGTAGTTTGCAATTTTGATACTGAAAGGTTATCAAGAATATCCCTTACTTTTACCCTCAGATCTTGAACAGCATGGTCATTCCAGCTATTATTGTCATACTGGTCTCTTATCTTACCTACCCTCAGCCCCACAGCACTTGTGGTCAGTTCCAACTACTGGCCAGTCCTCATAATGCCTGTTTTCCCTGGCCACGATGTTATTCTTCTACTATATATATATTATATATATAGAATAATATATATATAATACCACAAATGAATGCAGTCATTCTATAACTGTCCCTTTCATTAGGACTCATTTCACTCAGCATGATACTCTCCATGTCCATCCATTTATAGATAGCTGCATAGTATTCCATTGCGTAGATGTGTCATAGTTTCTTTATCCTTTGTCTGTTTTGGTCACTCAGGTTGTTTCCAGATTCTGGCTATTGTGAATAGTGCTGCAATGAACATTACAGATGGTATTTCTGCCTTGTGCTTTTGGGCCCACAGGGTATATTCCCAAAAATGGTATTGCTGGGTCAAATAGGAGCTCAATTTTTAGTTGTTTGAGAAACGTCTATATTGTTTTCCAGAAAGGCTGGACCAGTCATCATTCCCACCAACAATGAAGGAGAGTCCCTTTCCCCCCCACACCCATGCCAACACTGGTTGCTTTTGTTCTTTAGGATGTTTGTCAGTCTCTGTGGTATGATAGCTCATTGTTTTGATCTGCATCTCTCTGATGATTAGTGATAAAAAGCATTTTTTCATGTGCATTTTTGCCATTCGAATTTCTTCTTTGAGAAAGCTTCTGTTCATTTCATCACCCCATTTTCTTATGGGATTTGATGTTTTTTTCTTGTACAATTCTACTAGTGTCTTGTATATCTTTGATATTAACCTCTTATCAGAAGGGTACTGGGTTAATATCTTTTCCTATTCCATAGGCTGTTGTTGTATCCCCACTGTTTCTTTTGAGGTGCAGAATCTTCTTAGTTTAATGTAGTCCCATTTGTTTATCTTTGCTTCCATTTGCTTGGTCAGTGGTGTTTCATCTTTGAAGATACCTTTAGCTTCAATCATGGAGGGTTGTGGCAACCTCTTAAGATAACTCTCTGTTTTAATAATGACTATGCAGTTCAATTTAGGGTTCTACTGAGAAAAATTAATTGTCTTGTTTTTATTAGTGAGGTGTTCTAAGTTAATTTGTTTTATTACTTAAGAATAAATAACTCCCCTGAAGTAAACTTTCATGAGGACTTGAAGACAGAACACATAATACCGATCAGGTTTTATCCTGAAATCCTGACAACTGCACTCTATACAATTAAGTCAACAAAATTCTTTTTTAGTGTTCTTTTAAAATTAAATTTTATTTTCATTAAAACTACTATGAGGGGCTGAAGCAATAGTACAGCGGGTAGGGCATTTGCCTTGCACACAGCTGACCTGGGTTTGATTCCCAGCATCCCATATGGTACCATAAGCACCGCCAGGGGTAATTCCTGAGTGCAAAGACAGGAGCAACCCTCTGCATCACTGGGTGTGACCCAAAAAGAAAAAAAAACCACCATGATTTACAAAGCTTTTCATTATATAGCTGTTTCTGGCATTTAGTGTTCCAACACCATCAGTGTGACCTTCCCGTCACCAATGTCCCCATTCCTCCATCCCCAACCTGCCCCCTTAGTACCTAACAAATTTACTTTATACTTACTTGTTTCAACATAACTTTAAGAAATGGCGATTTGGGGCTGGAGTGATAGCACAGAGTGTAGGGCATTTGCCTTGCATGTGGCCAACCTAAGTTCAGTCTCCAGCATCCCATAAGGTCCCCTGAGCACTGCCAGGAGAAATACCTGAGTGCAGCGCCAGGAATAACACCTGACCATCACCGGGTGTGACCCATAAAGCAAAAAAAGAAAAAGGCAATTAGAATGATTAGAAAATAGTAAGAGCAAATTTGTAATTACTATATGATTTTAACCTTTGTAACCAAGAAAATAAAATACTTTAATATAATAAAATGCTTTACATTTACATTAGTAACTTTTCAGCTCTGGAATCTAAGCTATATTGAATTAAATTTTATTTTATATTTGGACCTCATTATGATAATAATCAGGCCTTACCTGTCATCAATAAAACTTTTTAAGAAATTCTGTGTTTTAATATATTTTGGAGTTTACATGAAATAGATAAAGCCTACTTATGTAAATTCCACCCCTACATTTTCTATAAACACTATGGTTTACAAACTTGTTCATGATTTATTAAAGGCATTCAATATTCATACACGAATCCTACCACCATTGTCACCTTCCCTCCACCATTACCTCCAATTTTCCCAACCACCCTTCAGAACTACCTCTATAACAGGCCCACAATAATTTATTTTATATTTCTTATTATCAACAAGGGCTGGAGCGATAGCACAGTGGTAGGGCGTTTGTCTTGAGTGCAGCCAGCCCAACCGAGCCGGGTTCTATTCCTCCACCCCTCTGGGAGAGCCCGGCAAGCTACCGAGAGTAATCTCGCCCTCGCATCAAAGCCTGGCAAGCTAACCGTGACGTATTCAATATTCCAAACATAATAACAACAAGTCTCAAAATGGAGACATTGCTGGGCCTGCTCGAGCAAATCGATGAACAACAGGAGGACAGTGACAGTGATTATCAATAAATTGCTAACAGAATGATAAAAAATATTTTCTTAGAAGAAAATTAGTGTAAATTGTTGTATCTCCCCAACAAGATACAACATGAAACAAGATACAACACTATGTCCTTGTATGGGGGATTGCTAAAATGTCACAGGTTAAGCCTTCTGTGTCACTGTTTGCCAAGATTGGTTGCCTTCTATTGCAACCCATCCAATCTGCTGTGTTACCTCTGAAATTATCACTGTTGCAGAGTTTGGAGATGTCATGTGGCCACAAAGGCAGCTGCACACTTCAGGAAATCCAGACTTTTTAACGGGGTTATATAGCTGGAATTAAATTTTTAATTGGGTAGCAGCTTTGGGGTATGGAGATGACTGCCTGGGCTTTAGAAATACAGAGGGTTGGGGGAGGTAGCCCATCCCAACCTGGAGGAAGCCTGGAGATTTCATAGAAATCTAGAAAGACCTGCATACCCGAATGTTTAGCAGGTTAATTTCTGGGTGAGGCTTGGTCCGAGACAATGGAGTCTGGCTGAAGGCATGGCAGCAATTTTTCAGGGTGGGAGCAAGCAGCTGCCGGGGGCTCTGTTTGGGCGGGCACTGAGCTGAACTGCCCCCTTCCAAGGTGCTCCAGATATCTCAGCCTGAGCAGATGTCTGAGAAAAATTTTCATGGCAAATTGATCTCTTTCAAGATTTATTTACAAGTCTCTGCAGCATGGTTGGTAAGTGAACTTACATGGCGCTGGAGGTGGTTCACTGGCATGACTGAAATGAGCAAAATTCTTAAGAGGAAAACTTTAGTTAACAGATCCTGTAGTGGAAATCCCAAAGAAATTAATAGGATTTGTCTTTAATGAATTGCAAACCTATATGTGAACCACTGGCATGCACACACACACACACACACACACACACACACAAAGAAATTTGCAAGCATGCTTCTCAAATGTTTTTTATTCCATTTAAATACAATGTTCATTTACATATTCACCCACAATTTTCTTTGGTTAAAATATAAATAAATACAAAGTCACAATGATAAATATCACAGGAACACAGATTCCACTATTTGACATTCTCCCCAACCTTGGGCACAATATAGGCCCCATCCGTCCTATTTCACCAGGAACCATGGGGCAAAAATTGCTTTTTGCAGTAAAGGAAAGCATAAGTACTGCAGGCATTTCAGAACCACTGCCTTTCCTTGCGAAAAAGAATTTTAGCCCAGGTAAAAGTTAATCTGGGCTTTGTCACAAGGAAGGAAACCCTGGCTCTGCTGATTTGTTTCTTGCCCTATTGATCTGTTTGGGGGTGGGGGTTTTTTTGTTTTTTGTTTTTTTGTGTTTTTTGCAAAACCTATTAAAACCTAGTTCTCTTTAAGAAATAGGTAATCTTTCAGAGTTAATAATTTTATTACTCTTGATATAAAATTTAAAGTCTGGATATAAAAAAATGTTACTCAGTCCTGAGAATGTTAAACGGACCACTGGATTTACCAAAAACGTTCCTTAAAACAGAAATTACAATCCAACTGCTACCCAGGTACTTGTGCCTAACATTCCTACTACAGGAAGATATTTTAGCAATTTAAGTTTAATCCGGGAAACAAAGCAGCAGGTGCTGACTAGTGATCTGAACTGGTGATCTGCTTCACATGTGGCCCCATGGCTTAGGTAGGAGCTGTAGAACTCCCTAATTTCAAAAATAGGTTTGTATCCAAAAAAATAGGAATTTCATAGTCACAAAATTTGGGGGCAAGGTGAATAGCACTGAAACAGAACAGATTCAGAAAAGGAAGACAGGGTTCTGGCCTTTAACTAAAAATCCAAATAAAAATGGAAAATAATCATTTGTAAAAGTAGACACTGTATTCACAGCAATCATACAAATTTCAAGGTATCTGAATTCAGGGAGAGTTACAAAACAGGCAGAAAAAGTAGGCTGACTTTGCTGTCTTGAGGCTTGATAATAACTTCTTTTCCATCAACACTCTTCATGGATTTTCTTTTTAGTAGGTATGAATGCGTGTGATATACATAATTGCACTTGCAACAAAGAAACTCATGTCCAAGAGAGGCCTATTTTCAAGGACATGCAATAACTGCTCCTAAAAGCAATCTATGAGGAATTTTATGGCCAGGAAACATTTCTAACATACTAACTCTACTTTGCAGGATATCTAGAGAGTAAGCAATTTAGTCCTGTTTTAGCACAATGCTTAAAATACAGTTTTCTTTCATTATGAGTAACAAATTTTTATAAATTTTAGCATAAACACTGCAATAAGTAATTTTAAGGTTTTTCATTACTTCATCCACAAAATTAGAATATATAGAAAATATAACACCATATTTAAAATTTTTCTTTTAAAACATACTTTCACTGGTAACTTTTATACATTTATATTTAAAATAAAATATATACAAATGAGTTATTTCAAAGAGCAGGAGTACCCTTTTCACATGTAAGTAAACATTTTTAAATAAATATTTACAAGGGGAGATAATAATTTTCCTGTCCAAAGTCAAGAATTCCCTTTTTCCCTCTTATTCAACAGATATTCTTTTCATTTTTTCAGCTAATTCTTTTCTCACCTCAATATGTTTTTCTAAATTTTGCACTTCATGTGGAAGATTGATGTCCCAAACAGACAAGCAAGACTGTAACTCTAGAAGAATAAAAAAGGAAAATTATATATCAAAGATCTGCCATGGCGAATTTCAATTTTATTAATTTCTGTTTATTTGCTATATATACAGTCCAAAATGACTGGTATTAAGTAAATTACATTTGAAAATGTCTAAAATACATTATAGAATCTAAGTACCAAATTTTTAAAAGTATATGGGGCCTGGAGAAATAGAACAGCAGGGAGGGCGCTTGCTTTTCGCACAGCCAACCTGGTTTCAACTGGCATCCCATACGGTCCCCTGAACACTGCCAGGAGTAAGCCCTGAGCACAAAGCCAAGAGTAAGCCCTAAGCACAGCCAGGTGTGTCCTCAAGAAAAAACACACAGAAACATAAAAGGAATATGAACCTGTAATAAGCTAAGGTTTCATCATTGTGAAAGAAATATGCTTTTTGAAACAACAAAGACAGACCTCACCTGAATGTAGGAAATTTGTGAGAAAAAAAATAAGCACATTTAATTAAGATTTGGGATAGTTTTCACTTTATAGTGATTGACATTATTCTTTATCTGAAAAAGACAAATATCACTCCCAAATCACCAAAACTTGATTTTGAAAATTTATGTCCAAACTATTTTAACTGTAAATATGCTTGAATATGCTTACAGTTGGGCTGGAGCGATAGCATAGCGGGTAGGGCGTTTGCCTTGCATGCGGCCGAGCCGAGTTCGATTACTTGGCCCCTCTCAGAGAGCCTGGCAAGCTACCAAGAGTATCCTGCTTCCAAGGCAGAGCCTGGCAAACTCCCCATGGCATATTCAATATGCCAAACACATAACAAGTCTCACAATGGGGACGTTACTGGTGCCTGCTTGAGCAAATTGATGAACAATGGGAGGACAGTGCTACAGTGCTATGCTTACAGTGCTACCACCTGTGAGATATTTATTATAAACACAAAACAAGTTACAATATCTAGTGTCACTGAACTATGTTTGTAATATCATATCCTATTAAAAATTACCTTTTTAGTAGTGCATACCTTTGGTACTTGTCTGGGTATATCCCAAAACCAGCATGACATTTTTAAGGCTTCCTTTACCCCAAAAATAAAAGAAGTTTTCTGTTAGAACAATATAATAAATTGAACTAAAATAAGTACATATTTTAACAAAAGTTTTTTTGAACTTTATGCAAATTATACTTTTTGTTTATATGTAAAGTCATTACTCAATTCACAAAATTAGGATTTATATAGAAAATATAAACACTATATCTTTTTTTTAAGAATCACCAAGAGATATAGTTACAGACTTACAAATGTTTGTGTTTACACTTCAATCATACAATGCTCGAGTACCCATCCCTCCACCAGTGTCCATTCTCTACCATCAATGATCCCAGCATCCTTCCCACCCCCATCTCACCCCAACCCCCCGCCTCTGGGCAGGCACATTCCCTTTTGCGCTCTCTCTCCTTTAGGGTGTTGTAGTCTGCGATGCAGGTATTAAGTGGCCATCATGTTCAGTCTATAGTCTACTTTCAGCATGCATCTCCATTTCTGAGCGAGCCCTCCAAGCATCCTTTACTTGGTGTTCCCTTCTCTATCTGAGCTGCCTTTTCCTCCAGCATGTGAAGCCGGCTTCCAAGTGTGCAGCAATCCTCCTGATCCTTATCTCTACTATCCTTGAGTCTTCCATTCTATTACTTTATATTCCACAAATGAGTAACACTATATCTTAAATTGTTCTTTTAAAACATACTTTCACTGGTAATGTCCATATATTTATAAAGGCCCTCCCGTTGTTCATCGATTTGCTCGAGCGGGCCCAGTAACGTCTCCATTGGAGACTTTGTTGTTACTGTGTCTGGCATATCGAATACGTCACGGGTGGCTTGCCAGGCTCTGCCGTGCGGGCGAGATACTCTCGGTAGCTTGCCAGGCTCTCCGAGAGGGGCAGAGGAATCGAACTCGGGTCGGCCATGTTGGCTGCATGCAAGGCAAACGCCCTACCGCTGTGCTATCGCTCCAGCCCATATATGTCCCCATATATTTATATTTAAAATAAAAATATAAGTATTCCTTCATATGCAAATGAGCTATTTCAAAGAATGCAAGTACCCTTTTCATATACAAACATTGTAAAATAAATAAGCACCATTTATTATTAAAATTTTATTCTTTAAAATAAATAAGACACATGTACCTCCCTGAAGAATTCATCTAGGGGGTCAGAGAGGTCATATAATGGTTAAGGCAACTGCCTTGCACATGCCAGCCTGGGTTTGATTTAAAGCACCCCAGATGGTCACCTGAGCCCTGTCAAAAGAAATTCCTGAGCACAGGCACAGGTGTAAGCCCGGGGTTTGTCCAAGTTCGTTTAATAGAAAAGTAAGAACAAGAAAAGACCTAAAAGATAGAGTTAAACATCTTGATTTGTCACTATTTGTCAATTGTGCAGTTCTGTGTATATCGTTCTAAGAGTAAAATTTATTTATAGAGTGAAAACCAAACAGCATTCTTTAACAGGAGTGGGAAACATAGGCTGATCAAAATCAGCATTTGTTTTAATTTCTTTGGTACAAAACTAAAAGTGCCTCAACATTATGCATTTCTCATTTGGGGCAAAATCTATATAAAAAAGGTGAGCCCCCACTATCCAGCATCTAGCGGCAATAACCTGCCCCACTTAGGGGCTAAGCACCCCTGCATTCACCATTCTCAACATGAACTCTGATCACTAGATACCTCAGAGCAGACTGGAAAGGGAAGAGAAGTAAAAAAAGTACAAAGCACAGCCACCCCCCAAAACCCCCAAAAAAAGAAAGAAAAAAGAAAATGAGCAGGAAGATAACGGAGGGAAGCAGACACTCTAGAGGATGAGATAGGATGTTAGCACATTGTTATACATGAAACCCTGCTATTGTAGGCAGTTAGACAGGAAGGAGCCCCAGTGGCATTGGAATTCCTAGGAAGTAATAAAACCAATAAGACCAAGGCTGCAAACACAGGAACCAAGGTCCGATAAGACCCTCATTTGGCACCAGTAACAACCCACAGAAGGCTTGACCCCCTGCCCAGACAGAAACTCCAGCAGGAACAAAAGGACGCGTAAAGAATTTCGAAGAGGACCATAGGCCACTCCCAACTCTACCCCTGGACAACTCCTTGCAACAGACCTTTACCTAGGTAGAAGCCCCACAAGGGGGCAGGTTGGAAAGACCTATAAAAGTCACCTTGAACAAAAGAAGTGCACGCCATGCTGCCCAAGTCCATGTGCGGCTTGTGCTGCCCATGTGGCAAGCACATGTGTCGCCAGCATCTCCCCTCCCCTCTTGAGGTGTGGACTTTCAAGCTTCCATTTCTAATCCTGGGGTGTGTAGGACTCTCTCTGCCTGGGCGAAGCCTGTGCTCTCTCTTGAGAGCGGCACTCTACTCCCTCCCACTTCCCCTCCCTCCTTCCTTCCCAGACTCTCCAAATAAAATCTGTTCTTACTTCACTGCTGGGCTGGAGCGACAGCACAGCGGGTAGGGCATTCGCCTTACAAGCGGCCAACATGGCCGACCCGAGTTCGATTCCTCCGCCCCTCTCGGAGAGCCCGGCAAGCTACCGAGAGTATTCGATATGCCAGACACAGTAACAACAAAGTCTCCAATGGAGACGTTACTGGGCCCGCTCGAGCAAATCGACGAGCAACGGGAGGGCCTTTACTTACTTCACTGCTTACCTACTCCTGACATTCTTTTCTGTGAGACAGGACAAAGTCGCTGAGACCCCTGGGCAAGGCCTGGGAATGGCTTTTCTTCCCTGCAAAGAGCCATTCCTTGCTCCAACCTGAGTCTGTGGCCACCCAAGAAACGGTGGTGGGGCTCAACCCGGGCCCCAGAAGACCAAGCGGATGTCAGGTGTGGCCGGAGGGCCACGCATGGGGCTGGCGGGGCTCTGGCTCACGCCATGCAGGGCTCATCGCAGACTGCCAGCCCTGCCTTCCCCGCCGGCCGAGGAGGCAGGACGGATGGGGAGAAGGAACCTGGCCCCCTCTTCTCTACCTGCATCAGCCACGGGGGCCACCAACCTCACGACCGTCAGGAGCATCAGGTCGCGACGCTCTTACGAAGCCCATTTCTCAAAGATGCTCAGGCTGACCGAGTCCACAAGAAGATTGACAGGAAGGAGACTTGCCTAGCTGCGTCATCGCCATCCCCCGCACAGAGTCGCACCGGCTGTGAACCACGCGGAGCACGCGGCGGGTCGCCAGGTCCAGGAGCAAGAGCGAGCCCCCGCCCGTGCCGATCCAGAGCGCCGCGTTCCTCTGCAGGCAGAGGCTCTTCACCCGCCCGGCGTAAGGCAGGCGGGCTCGGGGCTCCGGGGCCACCTCCGCCGCCGTCTCCCTGAAACCACGGCCGCAGTGTTAGTGGGTTTAACGACTGAGAATGAGCAGGGCTGTGCCTCTATACAGAAACACGTACAGATGTAAATCGCATTTTGAACTGTGAGTACATGACACTATACATCATGTATCATCAAGATTTTATAAAGCTATTTTTATTGAATACAGAATGCTGAAAAGGCAATTTTCTGCCTGAATCACAAGCTTTTGTAAAAGATGAGACGTGAATTCAAAAAGTTCTGAAATAGATACAATTTTTAGGAAAATTGTACACAATCCAGGAACAAAGAATTTTTCAATGTTCAAAGAAAAAAATGTTAGTCCAAATAATATGCCATGAAGTCTGAAAGGTGCAAAAAAATTAAACTACATGTAAATTAAAGAAAATTAAATTATATTTTACATGCAGACCATTATTAATAAGCAACTAAAAATTTCCCAAACCAACAATTGATAAAATCAATTAAGATCTCATGTTATATTCTTTCCATAATAAGAAATTTTAAATATGAATTTACTTTAAAAAGTGCACACAGTCTATCAGTTGGCAGAGTTTTTCAGTTTTCTTATCCCAAACCTCCACAAATGGACTGTTTTTCTTGGCAACATAGAGAGCTGTGTCCACTGCCACCGATATGATGTTGGAGTCACTGAAGACTGCATAGGAAAACCTGGGGGTGATGCAAGGAAGAAACCACCTTAGTCATTCTGTTTCACCCCGACATGTCATGCAACTCAGCAAATTCTTAACACATGTAAAAGATTAAAATAATTTTGAGAGAGAAAACAACTAGAGTATTGGCAATTACATCCTGTACTCTAATCATTCTGAATTGTGTTAACTTCTATAAGAATATCTCTAACTATAAATAAATGTATCTCTAGTTTCATAATTTTTAAATATTTGTTATTGCTAAATTATTGTAAAATTATAGCACTGTGGCACTGTCATCCCATTGTTCATTGATTTCCTCGAGTGGGCACCAGTAATGTCTCCATTGTTAACTTGTTGTTACTTGTTTTTGGCATATTAAATATGCCACAGTTAGCTTGCCAGGTTCTGCCATGCAGGCAGGACACTCTCGGTAGCTTGCCAGGCTCTCTGAGAGGGATGGAGGAATCAAACCCAGGTTGGCCGCATGCAAGGTACCCGCTGTGCTATTGCTCCAATCCATTGTAAAATTATAGCTGTGATAATATGCTGAAATATGTTGTTATTGCGGTTGAGACATTTTCACCTAGTAATATAAAACAAAATGTCAAAATAAATCTTAGCAGTGGCTTTAAATATTAAAGCACAGATATTGTTGCATCATACAAGTCATGTAAATTATGAGGAAAAATCCTACATAATAATCCAAGCATAAAAGAAAGTTAATTGTCATTTTCCCTCTTATCAAACACAGGAAAATAATACTTTTAACCATCTACCTTCTAGCATTTCAAAATTTACACATTTTTCAGGGAGATCAGCTGCCGTACATCTACATGGCAAACTCCTGGCTTACTTTTGAAGACCCACTTAAATCTCAGCACCTCTGGAATTCCTCCTGATACACTGAAATAGGACATCATCCTCTTTCCTCACTGCTATAGTTGGAACACTGTAGCCTCAGTGAACATAAAGTTTTATTTTTATTGGTATGTCCCTTATACTAGATGGAAACTGTAATTTCATGAGCACAGGAACTATGTCTTCTATACAGCCATATCCAGTGAAGAGCCATGGTAGCTAATTAGCTATCTAGGAGATGAGAGAGTAAAACTGAGTTATAGGGAGATGGTAGATAAAGATAGGTGACAGATGCGAGATAGAGGAATTGATGGCTAATGGGTGGATGTACCTATCTAGAAACAAGTTGACAGTATAGGTAGCTGGTCAAGTATATGGAGAAAAGGGTGGGTGAATGAAGAATTAAACAAGTGTGTATTAGGAAATAATAAAATAGTTCAATGTAGATGACATGTAAATACCACAGGACTACAACGCTAGAAGATCTGAAGGCAGGAAAGCTTTGTTCTTGTATCTTTTATATTTGGGACAAGAGACAATGATGCAAACTCAGAGCCTCTGTCCTGCAGGTCATTTCTCTTTGGTGGTCTCACTGAATTTAACAGAAGGTTGGTAAAGTTTTCCATAAAATACCATTGCCCGTTTTCTTTGATTCTCAGTGGAAATCTTATACTATAAATCTCAATGTTTTTTAAAAAAGAAATAAAAGTTTACAAATTCTTAAATAACTTAGTCAAGGATACAAACTAAAATGCCTGGACTAGGACTCAAAGCAGAGGCCATGTATCTTTCACTGAACATTAGGCTCCGAGCATCACATACTAACAAGGAGGTATGAAGTAACCTCTGAGAGGTCACTTTTTGTGTGGTGTGAGAGTTCAGAGAAACGAGAAGTTTCTTTCCCTTCTGTCTGGTGGGACAATTCCAGGGGAAGGTGAGAGCACCTTCAGACTTGTTGGTACAATCCGGGTAAACAAGAGATCCTTTTTAAGAAGAGGTCAAATATTTCCAAAATCAAGAATGTAGTCCTCATCTCTTTTGGGACATGAATGTGTTTTTGCCTGGGAATTCTCTGTAGAGAAGCATCACATATTTATATCACATATAATTTGAGGGGATTGGTGGATGTCCTGTATCTGATGACAAGCTCCATAAATAAAGAAAGGAAGTCCCTTCCTTAAGTATTTTCAGGGTTAGATAATTTGAGAGTGAAAGTTTCAGAATGAGAATGAATTCATCACATGTTTACCACACTCTAGCAAATAAACTATGAACATGACAGACACATTATCCTCATCTATCAGAACTTCAGACCTAAAGCAGTGTAGCTAGGATTCACCCAAATGATGAACAAACCAATTTTTCCTGGTCTACCCTGAGTTTTATTCATTTGGCTTACCTCTCGGGAGAGCCTGGCAAGCTACCAAGAGTATCTTGCCTGCACGGCAAAGCCTGGCAAACTACCCGTGACCCATGACGTATTCAATATGCCAAACACAGTAACAAGTCTCACAATGGAGACGTTACTGGGCCTGCTCGAGCAAATCGATGAACAATGGGAGGACAGTGCAGTGCAGTGCAGTGCAGTGCAGTGCAGTGCTACCTGGTCTAAAGTGTGTCCCTGTCTAAAGGTCAATGACCTAGGGCTTTCTGATGTGCAGCCAGTTGTAAGAATCAATAGGTCTAGTATTTCTAAGAAAATGGTTTTAAAAATACATTTGAAAAACAAAACAAAACACGTCATTGTTGTTGTTATGGAAGTCAGAAATGTATAGAAAAGCAAACTCAAGTTGCCTGCTCTACAAATATGGGACGCATCTGCTCTGGGCAAGGGTCCCAGGATGGAACCAGGTAAAGACACAGGAAAAACCAGGCAAAGAGAAGTTTCTATTGAAAATGCTGGGAGAGAGGGGGAAGCTGGCCCTGAGAACTGAGATGAGTTCCGTTTGGCCTGAGCACAGTGGGAAAGGAGGCTACAAGTATGAACAAAGAAAGGTAAGAAGACTCAACAGGGTGGCCTGCTGGACAACAAGATGCAGAACAGGGCAGAGAGATGGCACAGTGGGTAGGGTGTTTGCCTTGCATGTGGCTGACCCGGGTTCAATCCCTGGCATCCCTATGGCCCTCCAAGTGCCAGGAGTAACGCCTGAGTGCAGAAGCGGGAGTAACCCCTGAGCATCACTGGGTGTGACCTAAAAAGGAAAAAATTGACAAGATGCAGAACAGTGGCATCATTTTATGATCGAGAACAGCCCTCTGTGCAGCAGTAAAGGGTGCAAACTAGGCACCAAGGAAACAGACTACCGTATGACCAAGACGACACGCAGAGTGGGGACAGGGAGCAGTGTCAGGAGCACAGTCAGTAGGAGCAGAATCAGGGAGGACAGAGAAGGACAGGATCAAGGTTACTCCCACTTGCTTAGGTTTGGGCAGCAGGATGAAACCCAGTTCAGCCCCTGGGATAGGGACCTATGGCCCCAGCTAAGAGCAGTCGTGGCAGGCAGCACTGATTAGACGCCAACCAAAACAGGGATTAGGGCAAGTATTCCTTCTCTTCGGGCTCCTGCTTATTCTTCTCAGCACCCCTCTGGGAAAGTGCACTACACGCTCGGAAAGGTAAAGGCTCGGCAGTGCTTTCCTGAGCTCCCCGAGTCCAAGCAAAAGCCAATGTCTGGTTCTTCATCTGCACTGCGTCTCTCTGAGGACTGTGAGCAACAACAGCCACCACATGATCTGGTCAAAATATAACTTTAAGAATTAAAACAGAAAATTGGAACAAGTTTTTTACATTTTTTTAACTCAGACTTGACTGTTGTTACTAATTTTGTTGTAGGAAGAGTACACACACATATGTCTATGTATATATATATATGTATATATATTATACACAATTAACAAAGATAGAAAGGAGTTTATTGCTAAGGCCTATTTTTACTGTCATCAATACCTAATCATCAAAAAAAGTCTATGTAAAATCCATAGACTCAATAAAATACTAAGTTGATTGCCTGTCCAAAGCATATATAAATTGACACAGAAATTAAAATATTAAAAATTGTATTGTAAAATACTAGAAATATTACAAAAGATTTTTATATTTTATCCCAATATGATTAGGCTGGGCTGGAATGATAGCACAGTGGGTAGGGCGTTTGCATTGCACACAGCCGACCCAGCCAACCCAGGTTCGATTCCTCTGCCCCTCTCGGAGAGTATCTGAGAGTACTGAGAGTATCTTGCCCTCACAGCAAAGCCTGGCAAGCTATCTGTGATGTATTCAATATGCCAAACACAATAACAAGTGTCACAATGGAGACATTACTGGGCCCGCTCGAGCAAATCGATGAACAACGGGAGGACAGTGACAGTGATTAGGCCAGATAATTTTTTAATAATATACCTTTGCTTTCTAGAATTTTCTAAAATTCATCTTCGATGCTATAATATAAAAATACATTATCCATTTTAAAAGGTATTAGGGTAATCAACAGCATTATATTGACATGATTATATTCATTGTACAGGAAAAAATGGCTCACAGTTGACTTGTCCTGGTCTCGATGAGTTTCTGAATATTGAAATCACTGGAAAGTGAAAAAATCTTGGTGCCACAGCCTCCCCACAATATGTCTTTCTCAGCAGAACTCACAGACTCACTCACACACATCAATGGTGTGCTGGCATCCCCCACATTCACCACCTTCAAAGGCTCAGCTCCTTGACACTTTGGAAAAAGAGAAAACATTTGGCAAACTGAGTTGCTGTAGGATGAAATAGCAAAAAATGCACTTTCTAAAAACTACTTTCCATTTAAATAGTTAAGAGGTACTGGAATAAAATTCAGGAGATACTTTTCAAATTGTTTATAAAAATAAGATTCAACTGAAGTAGAATCCTAAATATTACCTTTTGACCAATCTCTACTTCATGAGAAAATTACAAAGAAACTAACCTAGCAATCATGCTCACTTCTCTCCCACTATCACTCTTTGATAAGACTGTGAATGACTAATGACTAATAGGGTGTTAAATTAACAGATAGAATAATAGGTGAAATAAGAACTTTAACAGTAGAGAAGCTTCCTTTTCCCAACTTTAAATTATACTATAAAGCTGTTATAATTAAGACAGTGTGATACTGGAATAAGAAAAGACTCTCATACCAAAGTAATAGAATTGAGAGTCCAAAGACAGATCCTCCAGTACATGAATAACTAAACTTGACAAAGGAGCAAAGAGTCTGATTGGAGCAAGGAAATCTTCTTCAACAAATGGTGCTGGGAAAACTGATCAGTCACACGTGAAAAAAAGTTAACTTAGACCCTATCTGACACAATTCACAAAAGCCAACACAAAGTATATTAAAGTGCTCAATACTGGACCTAAATTTATAAATTATATTGAGGGCTGAAGTGATAGTATGGTGAGTAGTGCCTTTGCCTTACACACAGCTGACCTAGTTTTGACCCTCAGCACCACATATGATCCCCAAATCCAGCCAAGAGTGATCTATAGCACAGAGGTTGGGGTATCCCTTGAGTACCACAGGATTTGTCCTAAGAACAAAACAATAAAGAGAGAGAGAGAGAAAATTGTATTGAGGAAAGCCTGTGCAGAATTCATCATGACACTGAATCTAAAGGTATCTTCAGAGACTGAATGCAATTGGCCAAAAAAATAAAAACACAAAGATAAAAATAAATAGAGACTGCATCAAATTAAGAATCTTCTGTATTGCAAACAGAACAATGACCAGAATAAAAAGATACCCCACATATTGGGAGAAAACATTTGACCATCACTCAAAAGACAAAGGGTTAATGTCAAAGGTATACAAAGTATTTGTAAAATTTAAGAAAAAATACCTCATAAAAATATAGGACAAGATGAACAGAAACCTCATCAAGACAACAGACCAATGGCCAATATATACGAAAATATGCTCTGCACCAAATAAAGGGTGTTGGGAGGATCCTCCCAGGATGGGAGAAGCATGTGAAAGTAGACTATAGACCAAACATGGTTGTCACCCATTGCCTCTTTCGCAAACTACAACACCCAATAGGAGAGAGAGAACAAAAGGGAATGCCCTGCCACAGAGGCAGGGTGGGATGGGGGATGGGGGGTGGGAGGGATACTGGGACCCGTGGTGGTGGGAAATGGGCACTGGTGGAGGGATGGGTATTTGATCATTGTATAATTGAAACCCAAGCACAAAAAATTTGTAAGTCTACAACTGTACCTCATGGTGTCTCACTAATAAAAATTTTTTAAAAAAGAAAATATGCTCTGGATCTCTGATCATCAAAGAAATGAAAATTAAAACAATGAGATATAAATTCTGTGAGACTTGAGACATGAGATACCTACGAAAGAGATTAAAACAATCGGAGTTGACATGGATGTGGCCACAAAAAGCACCCTCATCTGTTGCTGGTGGCAAAGTCAACAGGTTCAAACATTTTGGAAAACTCTATGAACACATCTAAAAGAACTGAGAATTGAGCTTCCATATGACCCAGAAATTCCACTTTTTGGTATCTACTCCTACTTCAAAAAAACTCTACTTGGAAATGATATTTGCACTTCTATATTCATTACATTATTCACAATAGCCAAAATCTAGTCTTCCAGAACAAACGACAGATTAAAAAAACTATGGCATATATATATACAACGGAATACTACTCAGCTTTATAAAAAGATGAAATCATGTAATCCATCCATGTAATGTGATGGATCTGAAGACTATAATGCCATGTTTTAAGTTAGTGAGAAGGAGGACAAGTACACAAGTTCTCTTACATGTGAGATATTAAAAAATATATAGTAATGGAATAGCAAATAGCCCAAGGCAAAAGACTCTTAGGATTGGTCTATAAAACTGAGCTTAGAATTATGGGGCCATGGCAGTACGGTTGGTTGAGGTGGGGGAATGCTCTGGGGTGTTGGAACATTGTATGCATAAAACCCTATAGTTGACTTATTGTAAATTATGGTGCCTAATTTTTTAATGTTTTTAATAAAAAATAAAGCTGAAAAACACTTCAATAATAAATGAGAATCTGAAGAACAGTAAGTCAAATTAGTTATTCAAAGATAAATTAAGAATCTGTGGCAAACAGATTAAAATTTAAAACTAGTTTCCTTTTTTTCCCCAAAACATAATTGTCTTCAATTATCTACTTCACTTACATACCAAATAATTTATGTTCCAAGTTTTATAACTCAGATCTCACTGATCATTTTGACCTTAGTTAAATCAAATCTCAATGATGCAATCAGTATTTGCAGAGTATATATTATATACAAGACATCAAATTTTAAAAAGAAGTGCTTATGATCCTTGCTTTGGGGAATCTTACAATCATGTAGAGGTAAGAGCAATGAATACACATAAAAAAATTTAAAATTTTGGTATAAGTTGCACTGAACACTTACCTTAACCATTTTGTCTTCAAAAATGGCCAACTTTCCATCAGCAGTCCCCACCAAAAGAAAATTCTTTTGTTTTCTAAAGGAAAAATATAAAAGCACTTACAAAAAGAATGCATAATTTGACAAAAATGACTTTAATTTCCCCGCTAGCTTGAGTAACTGCTTTCTTCCTGACTCCCCTTTCTTACACCATTTTCTTTATAAAACTTATTATTGGTAACCTTCTCTCTGCCGTTTGAGAGGTGAATCTCCCAGTCTCTTTTCAGTTTTACAAACAGGAATGTCTTTGTAATTCCTTTGTCATTCCTTTGTCAAGGACCTGGGTGACACCACTTTGCAGTGTTATCATCAAGAAAGGGAGACTCCCAGGGCCAAGGAGATGCTCAGGTGTCAAAGCATACTTCTTGGACCTTGGACCCTAATTTTGATACCTGGCACAAGGTCCCCAGAGCAACACTGGGCATGACCCAGTGACCCACTAAATATCACCAGGTTGGCCCTGGAATATCTGGGCCCTATTTTCACAGCATCTTCAGGCCCAAGCATTGAACCATCTGGTCTGGTTGGTTGAAAATCCCTGGAAGAGCTCCCTCCCTAGGAGGGACCCCTTGAGTATAACTTGGATGGCCGAATGGTGGGGAGAGGGGAGGAGGGAAGAGGGAGGAGAGAGGAGAGAGGAGGGGATAAGAGAGCCTGCTGTTTCCTTGTCTATATGGGAGTCTTCAGCTGGCGAGAACTAGCAAAATCAGATAGCCTGACCACATCAACACTCTGCCTATCCAAAACCCAGGGAAATTTCTCCTGTCAGATCATCAAGCACTTAAACACTTTCCACGGTTAATTCCAGCAGAGTTAGCCAAATCTCTCCCCTCTAATGCAACTTTTTTTTGCCTTTTTGGTCCTACCCTGGCAATGCTCAGGGGTTACCCCTGGTCTGCACTCAGAAATTACTCCTGGCATTGGGGGACCTCTTGGGATACTAGGGACTGAACCCAGGTTAGCCACGTGCAAGACAAATCCCTTTCCCACTGGACTCTTGCTATGGCCCCAAACGCAAATTTTTTTAATTCAGTCTTCCTTGTGGACTTAATATCATCTAAAAAATGACAATATACCAATAATTTCAACTCCACATCTGCCAGTGAAATTTATATTTCAGCTGCTCGAAACTTGTGATTTCTATTTTCCTATTTTACTTGCACGCAGCCAACATGGCCGACCCGAGTTCGATTCCTCCGCCCCTCTAGGAGAGCCCGGCACGCTACCGAGAGTACTCGATATGCCAGACACAGTAACAACAAAGTCTCCAATGGAGACGTTACTGGGCCCGCTCGAGCAAATCGACGAGCAACGGGAGGGCCTTTACTTTACTTACTACTTCACATTAGCAACTCAACCAGAGAAGACTATGGTGTGCTTTCTTAATAGCTACTGGAAATCACTCTGTCCCAAATAGCATAGCAACATATCGCAGTTCACACCGGAATTCATGCATCTAGACAAATTCCTATGCAATAAGAACCCATTGGCTGTTAGTGTTAAAATCCCTCTCATTATTAGCAACTTAATAATTCATGTATTGCATGTTTCCTGATTTGGGAGCTTATTGGTATGTTTTAGACTGGCACATAACGGACTATTCACAGGTATGAATTCAAGTAAAAGCCTGTTAAATGATTGACTGCTTCCATTTCATCGATTCATAGGAAGTCACAATGGCTGTAACTACTCCCAATTCCCAGTAGCATATGCATAAAATTAAAATACACTGTAAGTGACGTGAGATGAGGAGGTAGCATTTGCTTGCAATTTACCCGTATAAGAGGTATGCCATTTCTCCCTGGGGCAAAGGGATTGTTGTACCTTTGCTTGGAGAAGGAGCTGCAATACAAGCAAGTGACAGAGTCGGACATCCGTTGAAGAGTGTGTCTCTTCTTCCTGTCCTGGTCACTGATGGCCAGGAGCATGCCAGACTGGGTTCCACACACAATCCAAATTTCCTTTTCAGAAGAAAGATGTACCAGGGCCAGACACAGTATTTGGCTATCAGTTACTTCCTCAGACAAAGCACACAAGGAACGTGACTCCAGCTTCAGGGACAGAATTTGAACAAAATGAAATATCGCTTATATATACTGAAATCTGTTTCGCTTGCTTGCTTTTGATTTAAAAGTGGTGCTTTTATCTTAAATTTCTTTATTTTAAGTAAAGAACTACGATTTACCAAGTTACTGATACTTGAGTTTTAGACATATACTATTTTTACATCAATCCCACCACCATGTCAACTTTCCTCCACCACGATCCCCATACTCCATCCACTCCTTCTACCCTGTTACAAAGTTTCGTGGCTGCAGCTTAGATCTGATGTTTTATGTGTTGTTGAGTCTGTGCTTTAGATGTATAACTATACTGGTCTCCCACATCACCAGCATAACTGAATTTCCTGTCCCCTGTGCCCCATGACTTCCCTTTCTCATTGTCTTCCTCCCTCACCTCTTGATTTCTTTCTCTATGGTCTGGGCATCCTCCCTTTACTATAGTACATTTCTTCATCCAGTTAGTTTTAATGTTACCACAGATAAGTGAGGTCATCCTGTTTGTCTTTCTACTTCTGGCTTACTTCATTCAATATGGTATCTTCTCGTTCCAACCAGGTTTTAGCAAATTGCATGATTTCATCATTTCTTGCAGTTATATAGTATGCCACTGTGAATATATGCCACACCTTCATAATCCACTCATCTATCACTGGGCACCAAGGAGGATTCCATATCTTAGCTATTGTACTAAGTACAGAAATGAATAATGATGTGCGTAAGTCCTTTTGAAAGACTGTTTCTTGGGGGCTGGAGCAATGGTATGTAGCAGGTAGGGCGTTTGCCTGGCATGAAGCCAATCCAGGCTCGATCTCCAGCATCCCATATGGTCCCCCGAGCACCGCCAGGAGTAATTCCTAACTGTAGTTCCAGGAGTAACCCCTGTGCATCACGGGGTGTGACCCCTAAGAGAAAAAAATGTTTCTCTATGCTTGGGATAGATGCCCAAAAGTGGAACTGCTGGATCATATAGCAGCTCAATTATAAGTTTACTAAGGATTCTCCATACTTTTTTCCACAAGAGTTGAACCAGACAGCATTACCACCAGCAGGGGATGGGAGTTCCTTTTTCACTGCATACCCATCTGTACAGATTGTCCCGCTATTTTTGATATATGGCCTTCTCACTGGTGTCAGATGATATCTTACTGTCAACTGGATTTTCCCAAAGAAAAGTGATGGTAGGAACTTCTCATGTGACTTTTGGCCATCTTCCTATCTTCCTCTGCGAAATGTCTGTTGGTTTTCTCTCCCCATTTTCTTACCCACTGATCAGAAGGCCTATCTTTATGCCAGTACCATGCATTTTTGATCACTATAGTGTCATAATATGGTGATTTAAAGTTATCATGGTATAGATCTCCCATGTCTTTTGTTGATTCCTAGATATTTGATGTTTCTGGACTTTAAAGGGGATAAACTCCTTGATAGCTTTCTCCTCTGATTCATTCTTTATATATAAGAATGCTACCAATATTTGTGTATTGACTTGGTAGCCAGCCACTTTGTTGTATTGGTATATTGATTCTAGAAGCTTTTTTTGTGGACTCTTTAGGGTCTTCTATGTATATCATTATGTCATCTGAAAACAACGACAATTTGACTTCTTTTCCAATTTAGATGCCTTTGATTTTCTTTTCTTGTTTGATTGCATTAACCAGGTCTTCTATGTTAAATAAAAGTGGAGAAAGTGGACATCCTTCCTTGTACCTGCTCTCAGAGGGAATACTTTCAGTTTTTCACCATTAAGAATGATACTGACTATGGGTTTGTTACAAATGGCCATTACTATCTTGAAGAAGGCTCCTCCCACCCCTATCTTATTGAGGTTTTTATCATGAATAATGGATATTGTCAGAAGCTTTCTCTGCATCAATTGATATGAACATATTTCCTTTTATTAATGCAATATATTATATTAATTGCACAGCGGGTAGGGCGTCTGCCTTGCACGCAGCCAATATGGCCAACCCGAGTTCGATTCCTCCGCCCCTTTCGGAGAGCCCAGCAAGCTACCGAGAGTATTTGATATGCCAGACACAGTAACAACAAAGTCTCCAATGGAGACGTTACTGGGCCCGCTCGAGCAAATCGATGATCAACGGGAGGGCCATCCCTTTAAACCATCCTTGCATCCCTGGGATGAATCCCACTTGATCAGGGTACATGATGTTTTTTATATGTTTTTGGATTCTGTTAGATAAGATTTTGTTAAGAATTTTTGCATCAAAGAAATGCGTCTGGACCCCGCAGTAGGTTACTGTCGCCGGGCCACCCTAGGGGGGAAAGGGTGTTGTCCCTCCACCTACTCCCCCTAGGTGGCTCGGTGGCCACCATCCTCCAGAGGCCACTGGACAGTCAGGTTGGGCCCACAGTGATGAGACATGTTGGGCCTCACGGGATAAGGTTGGAGCCGGTCCTCTCCTTCCCATCCCACCAAGACCCCAAGTCATCACCCACAAACGGCCTCTCTGGCTCCTGATCAAACTGCTTAAGGGCCATGATCCAAGAGACTCAGAAACAAATCTTGGAACCCAGCGGCTTTTGGCAGAAATGCGTCTGGACCCCGCAGTAGATTACTGTCGCCGGGCCAACTCAGAAGGGGGGAAAGGATGCTGTCCCTCCGCCTGCTCCCCCTAGGCAGCTTGGTGGCCACCATCCTCCAGAGGCCACTGGACAGTCAGGTTTGGGCCCGCAGTGACGAGACACACAAGGCCTCACATGATGGGGTTGAAGCCAGCCTTTTCCTCCTCGTCCCAACAAGACCCTGAGTCACTGCCCATGAACAGCCTTTCTGGCTCCTGATCAAGCTGCTTAATGGCCATGATCCCAGAGACTCAGGAACAAATCCTGGACCCAGCAGGTTTTGGCAGAAATCCCTCCAGATTTAAGTGTTAAAATTTCAGAATTTCAAAACTGCATGGCCACTACTGCAGCCACGTGACATCATATGTTATTCATAACCAGCAATAGAAAACAAATTGTCTAGTGTTGTCTTTTCAGCAGATCTGAGTGTTGGGGTAAAATCTCAAATAATAATGGTGGGTCTGGTGTTGAAATATTGAATGCGATCAAAGTAGAGAGAGAGTAATATGGAAATCATCTGCCCCACAGGTAGGGGGAAGAGTGTGGGATGTGGGTATACTGGGGTTGTTGCGGGTGGAGAATGGGCACTGGTGAAGGTATGGGTGTTTCATTGTATGACCGAGACTTAGATCCGAAAGCTTTGTAACTGCGCTCATGGTGATTCAATAAATAAAATTATAAAAAATGGAAAAAAATTTTTGCATCAATATTCAGGGAGATTGGTCTGAAATTTTCTCTTCTAGAAATGTTTCTGTCCATTTTGAGTATTATAATAATGTTAGCTTCAGAGACAGTGTTAGGACTTCTGTGTCTTCCATGTTTTGGAAGAGCTTAAGGAGTAAAGACAGTAAATCTCTGAAGGTTTGATAGAACTCACTAGTAAACCCATCTAGACTGGGACTTTTGTTCTTGTGGAGATTTTTTTAATTAATGTTTTAATTTCCTTACTTGTGATTGGCCTCTTTAGACTTTCTACTTTCTCCTTATTCTGCTTTGGGAGATTACATGACTCTAAGAACCAACCCACTTCTAGGATTTCCACCTTAAGAGCATAAAGTTGTTCATAGTACCATCTCATATTTTTAATTTCTGAAGGATCCATTGTAAATTATTCCCTTTTATCTATGATCTGATTTATTTGAACACTTTCACTTTTTCACCCCTCATCTGTCTATCTATTCTGTTTATTTATTTATTTATTTATTTATTTTGAAGAATGAACTGTTAGTTTCATTCGTTCTTTGGATTACTTTATTTTTTTGTTGACTTTTGCTCTTTTCTTTAACTATTTCCCTCCTTCTACTAATTTTTGGGTTGATTTACTGTTCCTCCTCCAGATTTTAGGGATGTTAGTTTAGGTTGTTGATCTGGGATTTTAACTCTGAAACTGCATTTATCCTATAAGTTTAAGTGTGTTTCTTGTAGGCAGGCAGCAGATGGATACATTTTCTTCCCTGATCCATCCAGCTACTCTATGACCTTTTTATAAGAGAGATTAGTCCTTTGGCATTGAGATAGATTAATGATATAAAGGGTTGTATTGCCATTTTTGTGTATGTGTGTGTAATCAAGTTGCTTTTGCAAATACATCTGTTTATATAGGTGGCCTCTCAGTAATTTTTTCAGTATTGGTTTAGTTGTTGCAAATGGTGCCAGCTGATTTTAATTTTCATCAGTAAGTTAATAGACAACTCTGCCAATCTAAAATGCATCTGAAACTAAATTAAAAATTGAAAATAACGCTGTTATTCTTAAGGTTAAACTATCAGTCCTCGAGTGACTTTGATGGAATGGGAAATAAATACTAACATCTAGACACAACATTTATTTCAGAATGCAACAACCAAAATATGGAGTTACTTTGAAGTCTATACATTTTTTTTACATTTGCCAGTATTTCCATCTATAGTCCTGCTCAGGCCTATGCCTACCCACTCCACTGCACACAGTTTGGCTGTCCTCCTGCGGGCTGCACCAACAGCTGTGCTCTCTCTTCCCACCGCAGGGGGTGCCAGGTGCCCCTAGAAACACACTGCACAGTCTCCTCTGGCTTTCTCCCAGAGGATTCTCTCTCCTTGGTCACTCACACCAGATTCTGCTGGGCTGTTTCTAGGGTTCCTGACAGAAACTCTAACATTATGACTTAAAACAAAACAGGCTACTTCTTTCTGTGGGAGGGCCCTTGTTCTTGTGGAAACTGCGGGTGTGACATTTCTGCAAGCCCTGACAGACTCTTCCTTGGCAGCTGTGGAATAAGTCCCACAAGTGTTTTTTCTGCAGAATCTCTGATCGAGAGTGTCAGGATTTACCTCAGAAGCGCGTCCTTCTCTGCTTAAGTCCAGAATCAAGAGCTTGCCTCTGTCACCATGTCCACAGCCCAGACAAACACTGGGGTCCTTGCTGCGGTGGTTTGTAGCAACCATGCACTCAACAAGAAGGTTTTTAGGGATCACTACATGTCTCATCAGACAGATTAACTCAGCTGAATTCAAGGCGTCAAAGACCTGAAAAGTATGCAAATAAAAATCATACATGAAGTTTACATGAGTCCATATTGGTCACATCAAAATAGCTAATATAGAATTTCACCAAGAAAAACCCAAACTGGCTGAACTGCAGCCCAATGGAGCAGGAGATCAAGAGTGTAAACACTCTTGATCAGATAAAATTACATTTAAAAATAACATAAACTTTTCATGATTAAAGATGCATGTGTAGTAGATTTTGTAACTTGAAAACAAAGCCTCAAATGTCATCTCTTAACAGAACTGCAGCAGCTGGAAGATATGCCCAACCAACGCCCAGTGCAAGACCATGTGTGACAGACAAGGGGACAACAGGAAGAAGGCCTTTCTTAGCTGAAGGGGATGACACTGATCTTCATCTGTTTTAAAACATATTTTAAAATCTTGCTCCCATTTAAAACAACAATTGTTGTTTTCTGATATGGTAAAATAAATTTTCAGACAAAACTTCCAGCTTAAAACCAATATAAAATCTACAGAAATTGTTTATCTTAAAATAAAGTCTTTTCAAACATCAAATATTCCTTAACATTGTAAGGAGTTACTGGGTCAAATGCTTACTGAATGGCAGAATCCAGAGGTGTCTGCTGTGCCCTATTACCATGTTTACTCTGAAGGCATCTGTCTCCTTGAAGAAAATGGGTGGTGTTGAAAAAAAAATGGCCCATGAGAAAGAAGCTAGAATCAGGAGTCTGGCTAAGTGGAGCTTTCTGTTCAGTAAAGGGCCTGATGGGAATCATCAGGTAAGGGACCCCAGAGGGCTGCCCACACAGAGAAAACAAGGCACTGAGACAATACCACTGTCCACATCAAAAAGTACCTTGGACTTTTCAGACAAGAGCAGGGAAGGAAAACAAAGGACCCTGAGCAATACTGCATTATAAGCCAACTCTCCAGAAGCTTGGTAGACCAGATGCCCACCCCATGGGTGATTCCCTAAGCTTGGAATAGAATTTAAAGCAATTTTCAGCAAGTAAGTACAGAAAAAATACTCAAGACCTACAGGCAGAGCTATAGAACTTCACTTCAAGACATTTAGAAAGACTGAAGTAAACCCACATTCAAAACTAGAAAGCTTAGCAGTAGCACCCGTCCAAAGCACAGCAACAACAACAACAAACAGAAAAGCTGACAAAGTGATCTTAAAAATCATATAAAAATTAAGCTGAAGAATAGCTAAACCATTCCTAGAGGAGAAAATACATGAGCAGAGACTATATCAAGTTTTACAAATTGACAGAGTGGAGTCAGAGGAAGAAGAGAGACTATAACCAGTGGAAGAGAACTGAGTCTGGCTTTGTGAATATGACTTAAACAGACGATGGGAGAAAGATGGAAGAAAGATGAAAGATGAGAGAAGGGAAGAAAATATTCCATAGATGAGATAAAACATGCTATCTGGTTGGGAAAGCAAAACTTGATCCAGATTAAAATGTTATTTCCTGGGGCTGGAGATAAACAGTGGGGAAGGTGCTTGCCTTGTATGCAGCTAACCCAGGCTCAATCCCCAGAGTCCCACTAGGGTCCCCCATGCACCACCAGGAGTAATTTCTGAGTGCAGAGCTAGGAGTAACCCCTGAGCATTGCTGGGTACGGCCCCAAAACCAAATAAAATGAAGTGCTATTTCCTGAAAAAGAATTTAAGCACCAAAGCCAAACTTAAACTTTTTAAAGAAACCATAGGTAAATTTGTGTGTGTGTATCTTAAAAGGACTTTAAGAAGTCTTTTTCAAAGTAACAAATGTAAAAAGAGAACTGCTACATTTATTGGCATTAAAATTAATAATTTTATTTACCATAAGGTACCCTACAGGAAATTAAAAAGCAAATCACAAATTGCAAATGAAATTTATGGTAAATTCAGCCAACAAAGAATTAGTATATATATAATATATAAATATATATAATATATAAATCATCTCTTTTTCTGATTTCATTTGTATACAAATAACAGGAAAAATGGGCAAATAATACTTATTTCCTAGAAAACATTGTAGGACCAACAAACAGAATGACATATGTCATCCTTTTCAGTATTTAAGGAAGTGCAAGTCAATGCCCAAAACTATAAAATAATAAAAAAAAACAAATTGCAATATTTAAAGAGAAATTTCAGAAAGCCATATGAAATTTCTTTCTTATCTTAAAATCCCACAATTCATCTTGTGTACATTCACAAAGAAATTCTCATATAATTTGTGCCACAATTACTTGTACAACCAGAATCACAGACACACTGTTTATAATAATGAAGAACTGGAAACATACAGATGCCCATCCCATATACAATTTATATATAATACTTATATGAATTATGAACACAGGAAAACCAAAACTATAATGAAGCACAAAGCCATGGCACTGCAGGTATCAGGAAAGCGGCTGTCTCAGAGGAAGGAGTTGTGTCAGCTGAGCAAAGGTGGCTGCAAGCTCTTTTACACAAGAGCCATAGGGAGGAGTGAGGACATTGCCTTTTAACCAGTGTGTGCATGTATTCATCTGCTCAAGCTCGCATACTTGAAAATGACACATGTGTGCTTTAGGATGTTGTTCTATACAACAGTAAATTTTGACTATAAGAATCCCCATGAACCTGAGGATGGCTCAGTAGTACCTCAGGGTCTGCAGGCAAGAGTGGAGTGATTCTGCAGCTGAGGACTCAGTGGTCCCCCAGTATCTGCTAACCGAGAATCTAAGGCACAGCACTGCCCACACAACTGCTCCACTGCCAAGACCACAGCACCACAGTGGAGTGTGAACCACACAACGCAAGTCAGTGAGCATCACAACCTGACCAGAGATACCCTAATGTCACAACAAGTGCAATCAAATAGATTTTAAAAAAAAGAAAGAAAGGAAGAAAAAGAATACCTGAGCAGAAGTAGGTCTTTCTTGGGGATTTTCCTTCAAACACTTTTTAATTAACTTCTCAACCATAGGCCATGGAGCACAACCATATTCTTTAACTGGATCTAAACATAAAAAAGAAGCATACTAGAAACATTAAACAAACCAAAACGAAGACTTTATTTTCTTTTCATATATAGAAGGTCCAAATATCACAAAGAAAAAACATTTATCACTACATTTTACATGTGTTATGAATCTACTTACCACAAACTCAAAGCAAATGTTATTAGCTTCATCTCCACTAAAGACAACATAAAACATTTCTTGACTTTTTTATAGTATAAAAGTAGACACAAAGGCCCAGAGAGACAGTACAGGAGTAGGGCACCTGCCTTGCATGTGACCCTCCTGGTTCTCTTCCTAGAACTGGATATAGTCCCTTGAGCACCACTAGGAATTATCCCTGAGTACAGAGCAGGGAATAAGCCCTTAGAACCACTGGGTATGGATCCCAAACAGAAAAGATAGAAATAGTAATCGATAATATAAGAGACCTTTATTCCACATCTGCATTTCAATAGCCTCTGAAAAAGTTTGTTCACAGATGACTGGATAAAGAAACTATGATGCATCTACACAATGGAATACTATGTTGCTGTTAGGGAAAATAAAGTGATGAAATTTGCTTATAAATGGACGCTAATGCACAGTATCATCCTGAGTTAAATGAGTCAGAAGGAGAAGAACAGATAAAAAATCACTGCAGTCATTGTAGGATATAAAAATAGTATGAGACCAATATAGAAGGGCAGGGAAAACAGGAGCCAGGAGGGCTAGTCAATGGTTGGAAGCTCACCACAAGTTTGTGTGGGGTGAAGGGCAGTTAGGAGAAGGGACAAGTAAGACAATAATAATTGGAAATGATCACTCCAGACAAGAACTAAGTGTTGAAAGTAGGTAAAGCGATCACATGATCACTTGACATCCCGTTACTCATTGACTTGCTCCAGCGGGTGCCAGTAATGTCTCCATTTGTCTCTGTTGCGTGCTAGTGTAGCCCAATGGCATCTGCTTGCTCCAGGAACACAAAGAACCTCAAACCATTCGTTCAGGGTCTAGACGAAGAAGTCTGACCATCTCGTAGGTGGGCGGCCACACAATCTTTTGATGTCCCATGGAATCCAGTCAGTAATGGCTCTAGTTCAGCGATCATCTCCAAATCACATTATATGTGCACAGATCACAGATCATCCTGTTATTCGTCAATTGCCTCGAGCAGGCCCCAGTAACGTCTCCTTCAGCCTAGCCCTGAGATTATATTCAAGGCTCTTTAGGAGAATGAGACCCATCATTATATGTGCAGTCCATCTTATTTTTGACACCTTGGCAAACGAGACAGCATCCCTGATTCTCAATAGTTGATGGGGGTCGGAACTCCACATTCCTTCTCTTCACTTGCGTGAAGTGTGATACTCCAAGCATAGTTCTTCTGATTCCTCTTTGAGAGACCCAAATAGCATTTTCATCCTGTTTTCATAGGGCCCAGGTCTCTGAGGTGTATGTTAATGCAGGAAAAACAGTGGAGTCAAAGAGATGTGTCTGGAGCCAGAGGTTCTTCATCCTCTAGCTATTTCTTTGACACTCTTGAAGGCATTCCACGCCACTCTCTTCCTCCTGTGCAAATCAGGTGCAAGTTTGTTCATCATGTTGAGGTCTCAACCTAGGTACACATAACTGCTACATTCAGAGATGCTCATTCCATTGAGAGCAAATGGAGTGTCAGAAATGAGTTCGTTTCTCATGAACATTGTCTTCATGAGATTCAGCTGCAGCCCAACTTTTCCACACTTACAGTCAAAATCGGCTGGCATTTATGCCACTTGGCTAATGTTTGGTGTTATTAGAATGATGTCATTAGCGAAGCAGAGGTGGTGTAGTTGCCGACTGTCTATTTTCACTCCCATTCCTTCCCATTCCAGTCATCGCATGATGTTCTTAAGGGTGGCACTGAAGAGTTTCGGTGAAATGGTATCGACCTGCTGAACCCCTCTCTTGAAGTCAATGATTACTTCCTTGTAGAATGGTGAGATCCTGGTAGTGAATCTGTAATACAACTCATGGAGAATCCTGATGGATTGAGTTTGAATGCCCTGTTTGGCTAGGGCTTCGATGACCATTTCGGTCTCAACAGAATCAAAGACCTTCTTTAAATCAATGAACATTAGACAGAGTGGCAACTTGAAGTCCTGAGAAACCTCAACGAGCTTGGTTACTGTGTGGATATGGTCGATCATACTGAATCCTTTTCAGAACTCAGCTTGCTCGCATGGTTGTCCTGCATCTAGTTTTCTGCCAATCCTATTCAGGATGACTTGAGTGAACAGCTTGTAGATGATGGACAACAAGCAGACTGGGCGATAGTTGCCAATGTCGTGAATGTCTCCCTTCTTGTAGAGTAATACAGTCCTGCTGGTTTTCCATTGGGACGGAACCTTGCATTCAGGCAGGTAGCATGTGAAGAGCCGAGCCAATGTATTGATGAGTACTGACGGCAGGTTCTTCAGGTGTTTGGGTCTGACCTTGCCTGGGCCAGGTACTGTTTAATTCTTTACCGACAAAATGGCGTGTCATATTTCGGAAGGGAGAATGTTGGGAACGACATATCCATTCTGCGGAATTTGGTATGTGGGCAGGTGGACATGGCTATTGAAGAGATCCGAGTAGAAGTCATGGATAATCTTCTCCATTGCCCTCTGGAAGATGTGATAGATCCATCAGGATGTTGGAGGGCAGCCACCATGGTCTTGCAGTTGGCGAAGGACAGGCGGGCGTTGTGAATGCTTTTCCCATCTTCTGCCGCATCTACCAGCAATGCTTCTCTTCTCTCTTTGAGGTCTTCCTTGATCGCTTCTCTGCACTGCTTTGCAAGCTCAGATGTTAGCTAGTGGTTGCCTGAGGCTCGCACCAAGTCACGTTGGTGAATGAACTCGAGAGTTTCTGAAGACAGGCATCTTTTTGTGGCTTTCTCTCTCTCGGCGTTCCTTGCACAATCATGGAGGTGCTGAACTAGTCGATATACAGGGATATACATGATAACCTTTCAACCTTTCAGTATCTGTATTGCATACCATAATGCCCAGAAGCGGAGAGAGAGAGAGAGAGAGAGAGAAGAAGGAGGAGGAAGAGGAGGAGGAGGAGGAGGAGGAGGAGGAGGAGAAGTAGACGGAGGAGGAGAGGAGAGGAGAGCGGAGGGGAGGGGAAGGGAGGGGAGGGGAGGGGAGGGGAGAGGAGAGGAGAGGAGAGGAGAGGAGAGGAGAGGAGAGGAGAGGAGAGGAGAGGAGAGGAGAGGAGAGGAGAGGAGAGGAGAGGAGAGGAGAGGAGAGGAGAGTGCCTGCCATAGAGGTGGGGGAGGGTGGGAGGGAAATTGGGGACATTGGTGGTAGGAAATGTACATTGGTGAAGGAATGGGTGTTAGAACATTGTATGACCGAAACCAAATCATGAATAATTTTGTAACTGTGTATCTCACTGTGATTCAGTTAAAAAAATAAAAATTTTAAAAATAATAATAATAATAAAGAAAAAAGAGGAAGTTTGTCCACATAGTAATTAGACTTCCATGAAAATAGTTTTCATTACAATATTCAAAGCAGGGCTTATATCTCATAGCCCAATTGTTCTGTTGTAAGATTCATGTCATTCTTCTGATTGGTACAGAAAACTAGAAACATTCACAGGAAACTGACAGGACAAGGAAGATTGTGGGAATTTGATCCCCTAACAAAAATATAACCCATAGATGTGAGAGGTCCCTAGTAAGACAAAGATAGGCAAATGTCTGTAAATAATTCCCTTTGTTGACGAAGATAATAAATATGGGATGTGATGGAGAACCAGGACTCTCAGTCCTTTCCTCAACACAGTCAAAGCCATTTACCATAAGCAGACAGCAAACACTATACTCAATGAGGTATTGTAAAAGCCTTCCCTCTAAAGATTAGGCACAAGACAAGTTTGCCCACCCTAATCACCTCTATTCAATAAGGTATTAAAGTACTTGCATAGAATTAGGCAAGAAAAGGATATCAAGGGCATCCAGACAGAAAAGGAATAAGTCAAGCTTTCAGTATTTTGAATGATATTATACTGTACTTGGGCTGGAGAAATAGCACAGTGAGTAGGGCATTTGCATTGCATGCTGCTGAACCAGCCGACCTGAGTTCGATTCCTCTGCCCCTCTCAGAGAGCCTGGCAAGCTAATGAGAGTAACTCGCACACAGAGCAAAGCCTGGCAAGCTACCTGTGATGTATTCAATATGCCAAACACAATAACAAGTCTCACAATGTTACTGGGCCCGCTCAAGCAAATTAATGAACAACGGGAGGACAGTTACAGTGACAGTGATTATACTGTACTTAGAAATGCCTAAAGTCACTACCAAAAAAGCTCCTATAAACAATAGATTTGTACAGCAAAGTGGCAGGCTACAAAAGTTACACCCAAAAGTCCATGGATTTCCTATACACTAATAATGAAGTAAGAGAGAAATTTTAAAAATCAACCTCATTCACAACTGTGCCTCAGAAAATCAAGTACCTAGAAATTAGCTTAACTAAAGAAGTGAAAGACCTAGATTAAGAACACTACAAAAGACTTCTTAAAGAAATAATAGAAGACATGAGGAAATGAAAATATATCCCACGCTTGTGGATTCGGAAGATTAACATTATCAGAATAGCAGTACTCCCTAAAGCATTATACAGATTCAATTCAGTCCCTATAAGGATAAACATGACACTAAAAAAAAATAGCTCAAACATTCCTGAAATCCTTATGGAAAAATAAACCCCCAAATAGCCAATACAATCCTTGGGGAAAAGAAGATGTAAGGCATCACTTACATCAGAGTCTCCCGCCCTTGCGCCTGGCTGTCCTCACCGGAGCCCCTTGGAGGGGGGCGGGCTGAGTTTCCCTCACTGCCCCAAGCAGAGCCCCGGCAGCTGAAGATCGCTGGAACCAGTCACAGCCAGGCTTAAGACCACTCTCCACACGTTCGGATGAGCCTCACGCATGAAGGAACTGACAGAGGAGCCCAGGCATGCGGGACCTGGGGCTGAGATC